TCAATAGCCCTCTTCTTTGTATCTCTCCTGGAAAGAACTGGGTTGTGGCAGACCCAGGAGGAGAAACCGACCCCCTCCTGGGAGACCTCAGAAAAGATCTGGGGAAGGGATTTGAGGAGAGAGAACAACAGTGGAAGAGGTTGGCATTCGAATGAGAAGCAACCAGAGCTCTTGTGTGAAACAAGGAGGGACACTAGCCCCGAGGTGGCAGCATTTCAGAGTCTGAAAATAATATGGATCATTTATTGAGCCCTGTGTTAATTACTTCATATGCATGATCTAATTTAATCCATGCTACAACCCCCTGAGATTGGCTCTGTAATTATCCCCATTTCATGGATGAGAAACTGAGATTGATTTATTTTTTTTTTAGATAGGGTCTGGCTCTGCTGCCCAGGCTAGGGTGCACTGGTGTGATTGTGGCTCACTGCAACCTCCTTCTGGGCTCAAGCCATTCTCCTACCTCAGCCTCCTAAGTAGCTGGGACCACACACCTGGCTGATTTTTTTTTTCTTTTGGAGCGATGGGTCTTGCTATGTTGCACAGGCTAGTCCCAAAGTCCAGGACTCAAGCGCTCCTTCCACCTCGGCTTCCCAAAGTGCCGGGATTATAGGTGTGAGCTACTGTAGCTGGCCAAGAAACTGAGCTGTAGATGCATTAAGTATCTCTTTGGGATACCCAGCTGATCCCAAAGCCTGTACCCTTCTCCTTTGCCAGATCCTACGTGCCAGCAGAGACTGATGCTGGGCTGGGACCGGAATTTCCCTGGTCCATAGCAGAATGAGAACTAGGAAGAAAAGGGAGTATTACATAAAGGTAAACTCGCTCACATTTTAAAAACAATCCTTTATTCTGAGATTCTGTCCTACATTTGTTGGTGTTGAATTGCTTTTCTTTGATATGATAAATCTAGCCAATGACTTTTTTTCAAGGACTTGGCAAATAAAAAGGTTTATTTCTTCTTTTATTTTTATTTTTTAAAGATGGGGTTTCACCATGATGGCCAGGCTGGTCTTGAACTCCGACCTCAGGTGATCCACCCACCTCGGCCTCCCAAAGTGCTAGCATTACAGGCATGAGCCACCTCGCCCAGCCAAAAAGGTTTATTTCTAATATTAAACACAAATGTAATCTAATATTAAACGACGAATTTGGGAATTACTCTTGTTCCATGCAAGGCTGACTCTTGAAGAGGCCCAGAGCCATACAGAGGCAAGAGATGCACTGAGAGGGGATCTGGGGGAAGTATCCTGGGACCAGGGTCTCCCCAAGTGTCAGCTTTCAAATTTGTCTGGTCCCTAGGTAGGCTGGTAGAATTGGAGCCTAGGGTCTTAGCTGGCTCCTTCCAACTTGCCCGGGGAAGTTTTCAACCCTCCTTCTCAGCCTGTGCCCTGGGGAACTGCCTGACCTGGGGTGGTGAAAAGTGATTGTAGGAGGTCGACTCCATACCAAAGCATCAAAATAACCTTTTATTGAATTCCTACTGTGTGCTTTTCAGGCTAATGTTACTCCCATTTTATAGATAAAGAAGCCACAGTTGAGAGTTTTAAGTAACTTGCTTAAGGGCACACCTGGGGCGTTAGATTCCAGATTCAAACCCTCTTTTGTCTCACTACAAAGCCCCTTGAGTGTCCTTCAACCTGCCCAGAAGAGCCACACCCTCTCTCTCTTAGAGTTCAGGCAGCTGTGGAAGGACAGGAGGAGAGGCTGGGCCTTTTTTCCTTTCCTGGCGCCTCAGTCAGCTCAGCCCTCTTCCCCAGTTCTCAGCCCAGAAATGCCAAGGCCATGTCTATCTCCCTGCCTTGCTTTGATGATCATTTGTGAAGCAAAAGTTAGATGTCAGGATACATGTTTTAATCAGTTGGGCTGGGAGCAGTAAATACTGCCTCTTGTCAGAAGGACGTATGGAAAGCCTCAATCCCACTGGCCTCAGTGGCTCTTGCCTGTAATCCCAGCACTTTGGGAGGCTGAGGCAGGCGGATCACCTGAGGTCCACAGTTCGAGACCAGCCTGGCCAACATGGTGAAACCCCGACTGTACTAATAATACAAAGAAATAGCTGGGTGTGGTGGTGCATGCCTGTAATCCCAGCTCCTCGGAGGCTGAGGCAGGAGAATGGTTTGAGCCTGGGAGGCGGAGGTTGCAGCGACCTGAGATCACGCCATTGCACTCCAGCCTGCGAGACAGGGTGAGACTCCATCTCAAACAAAAAAAAGGAGAGAAAAGCCTCAATCCTTTTCCTCCCACCTTTAGAGTCGTTTATCTTTGTATCTGTATGGGGCTTGGCAATTTTAGCCACTTTTTACAACATTTGATAGAGAGATACAATCATCCTACCATGTAGGCAGGATAGTTGCTTCTCCATTTAATAGATGAGAAAATGGAGACCTAAAGAAGTTAAATAAATTGCAGAGGGGTGGCAGTTGTTCTGGAGGGAGGGGATGGGGACAAATTCCTTAATCTCCACAATTTCTGGGAGATGTTTCCATCTGAGGCTAGAGAAATTTCTCTTCATTCGTCCAGAGGTGAGAAAGCTGTGCCCCTTCCCGACCTACCAGTTCCTGTCTGGTTCCTTCCCAGGGCCTCTGGGCCAGTGTACTTGGCAGTCTCCTGGAGGGTGCTTTGACCTGGAAAAGGATGGGGGTGTAGGGGTGGGTAGTCAGCGGTAGAGGAGAAAGAGGCTGTCATGTCCTTGATCCTCAAATGTGAAACCAGGGAGCAGGAAGAGGCAGTTTCAGAAATCAGGAAGAATAATGGGCTCTCTCAGTGTGAGAGAGAAAGCCATTCACTTCTGTGATGGGCTATTTTGTATTTTGCATATATTAGTAACTAATTTAATACTGACAGTAATTGTTGAAGTTAGGTGTTATCCCCATTTTACAGATGGGCAAACAGGGATCCAAAGAAGTTAAGCAGATGGTCCAAGATGATTCAGCTAGTAAGTGACAGAGCCAGGACTAGAACCCAAACAGGAAGGTTGGGGTGGGGGCTGAGGATAATTCCCAGAAGGACGACTGCACATCTACCTCTTCCGCATTACTGCTGCATGCAAGCGTGTAAATGTAATCTCACTGTATGCATATGCATATGTATTCACACATGCCTTCATGTGCAGCTATCCATGCAACCACTTCTTCTCCCCATACACATCAGGACAGCTGTCTCTCGCCTTTACGCCAGTCCTTTCAGTCACTGGAGCGCTAGTGTGCAACAGTACTCCATTCTTGTGAGTCCGTTTTCTTCTAGCTATAGCAGCCCTCTGAGTCTTTAAAGGCACTGCTTTTTGCCTTGCCTTGCATGCTCTGCATCCTCTCTGATAGATGCACGCACTGTGAGTTATGAAAGTTGAGAGAGAAGCTTGGGGTTCCTCATTCTGTAACACTGGTCCCTCTCCATTCTGTAGCTCCAGCTCAGACCTTCCCACCCCTGATTGTGACAAGGCAAACCTGAGTAAGCTCTTGGAGCATCCAGGATAAAAGCTGCTCAAGCTCCCAGACACCACTGAAGATGACATTTTCCTTTCTTCTTTCTGTCCCTCTTGCTCTCCCTCTATCAGCTGACTCCAAGCTCCCAGCTTGTCCTTCCCTCCATGTTTAATTTATTCAGCCACTTTTATTAACCTCTTGTCTCCAGGGGCTGCAGTCCTCATCCCTCTCTGCCCTCCTTGAGCCCATTTAACAAAATAGGGATCGTATTGAAATAAATGAGCCTTGCAGCCAGCCAACCTCCTCAGGATTAAGGGTTTTAAATCCAGGGGTAGAAATCTCCAGAACTCTCTGGCAAATTCCATTAGCTTCCCAGGAGAGAATGCTGCTGCTACATCATTCCTTTTGTGGTCTGGCTCTGGAAGGTGATGGGAGACTCACCCAGAATGCTGTGGGGCTTGGGTTTTGAGGCAGGGAATGGATAACGGGAACCCAAGGTCTGCAGGTGTACTCGGTGCCCAGCAGAGTTATCCCAGGAGGCTGTGCCATCCTAGGCCAGCTTCGGAATCTACTAGGCATTGGATGCCTTTTCTCTCTGCCCCTTCTGAGGCAGTCTGAGGCATATATCCTCACTGGAAGATGTGTGGGAAGAGGAAGGACTTTGGTTCCTTCCTTCCGTGAAAGAGAATTGTGTGCTTACTCTGTGCAAGGCTCCAGTGTTGCAAAGTGAATAATGTACTATTTCCCCGCCCTTGAGGATCTCACTTTGTGATTTGGGTGCAAATTACTTAATCCCATTTGGCCTCACTTTCTTCTTTCCCCAGAAGGGGAGAATTATTATGTTTTAATCATCAACTGTACATTACTGTATGCAAAACACACTAGTAGGCATTATATGGACTAAAAAATATGACAGCACGCAGCACGTGGTCCTTCCCTTCTGAGAAACTGAGATATACATACAAAAAGACTGCTGGTGGCGCAAGGTGTGGAGTGACTGGTGCTGGGATAGCAGTGTGCAGGTCAGAGCTGGATAGTCCAGAGAAGGGAGTTTGCTGGTGGGCTGAAGTGACCAGGAAGGGCTCCATGAAGGAGGTGGGCCCAAGGGTGGACAGGACATGGATGTGGCAGGAAGAGGGAGAGCATTACCAGACCCACCGGACTTCCTAAACCAAGATGTTGCTGCCAGGATGTGTCGGGGACAGAGGCCAGTTGGACTGAGGATTTCGGTTGGTTGGGGAGAAATAGATGAGATGATCCGGAGTGGTAGATTCAGGACAGACCGGAGGAGGCCTGCTAGAGCCAGGCCAAAGGATTCTTACAAAGACGGCCCCGTAAGAACTAGGGAGCCATGGATTTCTGTTTTTTATTTTATTTATTTATTTATTTTTGAGACGGAGCCTCGCTCTGTCGCCCAGGCTGGAGTGCAGAGGTGCGATCTCAGATCACGGCAACCTCTGCTTCCGGGGTTCAAGCGATTTTTCGGCCTCAGCCTCCCTAGCAGCTGGAACTACAGGCACCCGCCACCACGCCCAGTGAATTTTTGTATTTTTAGTAGAGACAGGGTTCCCCATATTGGCCAGGCTGGTCTCGAACTCCTGACCTTGTGATCCACCCGCCTCAGCCTCCCAAAGTGCTGGGATTACAGGGGTGAGCCACTGCGCTTGGCCAGGATTTCTGTTATTTATTTATTTATTTATTTATTTATAAAGACAGGGTTTCACCATGTTGGTTAGGCTGGTCTTGAACTCCCAACCTCAGGTGATCCGCCCGCCTTGGCCTCCAAAGTGCTTGGATTACAGGCGTGAGCCACCACACCCGGCTTAGGATTTCTGTTTTTTTAAGCAGGCAAAGGATGTGTTTAAAACAGATATAATCCCCATCTCATTTCTCACCAAAGCCTCCCCACCTCTTAACACCACATCTACTGGAGATGCTATAGAAATTTGTAACCCCTCCAATTAAAAACGTGAAAAAAAAAAAAAAAACCCAGATAACGAAGGTTTGGCCAGGCAGAAGTGAACAGAAAATCTTAGAGAAGTATCAGTTCTGCCTTGGGAAGTCTCAGATCTGTGGCTTAAGCTCCAGAGACTTTGGGAGGATGAGGAAATCTTTTTCTCTGAGAATCTTTCAGTATAAGATAAAGATGCCTGGAAGCAGAGTTCAATGGCTCCGCAGCCTGACTCTGAGACCAGCTCTCTGTTACCTGTCCCCACCAGGCTTGGGCCATGTCTACACTGCCTAGAGTCAAGGGGAGCCCTCTGCTTCCATCAGAGGGCCCATCCCGGTTCAGTTCCCTTCAGGGTCAGTTCTGGGCCATTTCCATTGGTCACTGTGGCTTTAGATACATGTGCATTTAGGAGCTGAGGCTAAAGATTCTTAAAACTTCTGCTAGGAAGCGAGCTCTGGTTTTTCACAAGGAATCCTTGGAAGAGGGTCCCACCAGGGGGGTGAGAGGATGTGTTCAGCTTACGAGTGTTGTTTTTTCAAATGGCTGTGCTGGGCCTAGGCCTGGGGATGGAAAGGTAGCTGAGATTTAGTCCCTGTTCTTGAAGCACTCTCAGTATGGTGTGGGAGATGGATGTATAAACACATATTGACAATTTTATAAGATAAAGGTTGAGAGAGAGGTATGTGAAACATGCTGAAGCCTAGCTGTCTAGTGAGGGGGAGTGGAACAGGGAGCCGGGCGGGGGAGGGGGCCACAGATGTGAGGCTGGGGGCTGCGGAGCCTCTGGAATGCGGTGCCGAGAGATATCCAGGCACTGGACAGTCCCCGATTGTACCCCCTGCTCCGGATGGAAGGAGCCGAGGAATCCAAAGGAGTGAGCCCTGGTCCCTCCCAAGGATTATGATTTCCAGGAACAAAGGCAGTTTATATAAAGCACACTTCCCCCAAATCGAATCTCCCAGCCTCTTGGAGAGTCCAGTTCTGTACTCTCCACCCCCCACTCCCACCCAATAGGGCTGTTGCTAAATTAACTTTGTCCTTGTAATCAGCTTAGCTGAGTTTTTGTTGTTATTATTATTTTTTTTCCTCCTCCTTCCTGAATTCTCCCAGGAACAGCCCGGGGCCCTGCTCGCTCCATTACCCAGCATTGTCAGGCCATGAGGTGCTTTTAACTACTTCTTCCCATTCCATTCGCTTAACTGGGAGGTTATTAAAAGGAAAGGAGCAGAGGTGGGCAGGCAGGGCGGAGGAAGAGAGAACACAGCAGAGAGTGAAGGCATTTCAAAGGAGCAGAAACCCAGGGCTAGGCAGGCTGGCAGAATGGAGCCTCTGAGAGAAGTAAAAGTTTTCATCTTGACTCCCGAGTCATCCAGAAGGACATTTCATCTAGACAGTGGGACTCCTGGGTTTTAATCCAAAACCCTGGGCAATTGACTTGCTCCTCTTTGTCTCAGTCCTCCCCGCCACTCCCCTCTCTCCCTGGAAATCTACCAGCTTGACCTCACTGTGGGTTGGGATGGGGGACTCCCAGAGGTCCCACACTCCCCTCATTGCACGACCCTCCCACACACACACTCTGGCTGTGCTGCCAGCGCCAGGACCCTCCAGCATTCACCCCGGGGCAGCTGCATTCTGGATGATGTTGGATCCCAGACTGCCATGCCTATCACACAGCACACATCTGGGAAGTCTCCCTTCACCAGGCAGTGGGTGAAGTGAGAATGTAAACTCACTTCAATGTCAGTTTGAGCCAAATATAATTAGAAAGGAAAATCTCTGACTTTGCAGAAAAAAAAATCTAATGCATTGCAAAGCCAAGTTGACATGACTTCTGGATTATCTGCACCACTGCCGCTCTCCATTTATGCAGAAAATCGAGAGGGGAACCTGTAAAGCCTGTGCCTAAGGGATTTAGTTCGTGCACATTACCTTCGGCTTCATGCCAGGGTCGTGTTTTAAGACTGGCCTCTTTCAACACAACCTGGTTCCTGGAATTGGGGAGTACCTAGAGTGCCCTGGGACCTCCTCACCAGGAGGCCTATGGCAGAGCCAGCCTCTTTCCCAGAGGGGCTTCTCCTGTGTGATCATCACAGAGTCACTTACCTGGAGCCTCAGTTTTCTCGTCTATAAAATGTAAATGATTACATCTATCTCCTTGGGTTCTTGTGAGGATTGAATGAGAGAATCAATATTGAGGAACAGTATCTGGAATACAATAGGTACTCAATAAATTATGTTGTTATTAATATTGCACAGTCCTTGCTTTTTACAGTTCAGTCCAAGGCAGATCTGGAGAAAACAGATAATAGAAATGAGACATGAACAAAAAGGCCAAATACAGATCAGTCTGTTAACGGGGCCAAGGAGGGTGACCAGTGAGGTAGGTCACCCCTGAGCTCTGTTCTCTGGGGTTCAGTGCAGTGGGAGCTTTGGGAGGCAGCACAGTGTAATGGAAAGCACTCTGGTTTAGAAATAGGTCTGTGTCTTGGGTCTGGAAATTGAATGGCCTTTTTCCCTTTGTCAGTGTCAGTTTCCTCATCTGTAAAACAGAGTGATAGCACCCACTTTACCCTTTGTAAGTCCTGGAAAAGCACTCTCAGGACAGTGTAGAGTGAGCTCAACTATCATTTTAAACCCTGTCTTTCAGCCAGGCGTGGTGGCTCACGCCTGTAATCCCAGCACTTTGGGAGGCTGAGGCGGGAGGATCACTTTACATCAGGTGTTTGAGACCAGCCTGGCCAACATGGTGAAACCCCATCTCAACTAAAAATACAAAAATTTGCTGGACATGGTGATGTGTGCCTATAGTCCCAGCTACTCTGGAGGCTGAGGTGGGAGGATCACTTAAATCCAGGAGCAGAGGTTGCAGTGAGTGGAGATCACACCACTGCACTCCAGCCTGGGCCACAGAGCAAGACTCAGTCTCAAAAATAGATAAATAAATAAATAACCCTTTCTTTCCAGATTTCAACCCAGTAGGTTAGAGCAATGATTCTCAAACTTTAACCTGCTTACACAACATCTGGGGATCTTGTTAAAATGCAGATTCTGACTCACAAAGATGGAAGTTCTTTCTGTATTTGCACCCAGCTCTTGGGTGATGCTGATGCTTCCTGTCCTAGGACCCCACCTGGAGGTGTTAGAGGATGCTTTCCTTGGGGAAATAGATCTTCAACGTTCTAATGAGAATCAAGAGAAAATATAATTCATTTAACTGCATTCACTTTTCAGCCAGCTTAGTTGTATAACAGTCCTGATGGATCATTGATTCAGGAACATTGATATGTTCTTTTTTGGGAAGCAGGCTGTAGGACAAGAGAGTGCACAGGGCTGCCAGTGCGCCCATCCTCAACCCCAAGATTGACCTATCCAGGCTCCTCCCTGCCACCTCACAAGCTCCCTGCCTCCCCACTCCACCTTGCCAAGTCTTCATTCAGGCTGCCAGCTGCGGAGTTGAAAAGCAACCTGCTGGTGTGCTGGTGGAAACTCATCCATGCTGGAGCCAGTCATTTCCACTTTTTTTTTAAATGAAAAAGTCCTCATAATTCATCTCTCAATGGGATATGCCAGGGAAAGCATTTTGACAGAACTTCTGGCTGGGGCCTTGACCCTGTTGGCTTTGGCTTGTAAACTGGGTCATGAGCAAGTTGTGTGATTTAGGAAGGAAGGAGGTCATAGACTTAACTGGGTACATGATTTGGGGGAGCCGTGGGGAACCATCTCTGGGCAGGTCAGCACCTCACGCTCACATAGACCTCGCGATCATTCAGCCCACATAGTGAGCTCACTCTCCCTCCTTTCTCTGTGTGCAGAACCCCAGGCTGTAGAAGGAGAGCCACAGGCCAGAGGAGAGACTGCCTGCCTTCAGGATTCCCTTGGTTCTGTGGGAGAAGCCTGGTCCTTACATGCAGGGAATCCTGTCTACTGGGGCAAACAGGAACTCCCATAATTTTCCTTCACCTTCTCCTCTCCCCCCGAACATCAGCACACATTCAGCCATCAGCAAGTGTGAATGAGAACACAGGCAAAGTAGGGATGGGGGTGGGATCAATGTATTGTGCTTCTTAGAACGCAGAACCTGAGGTCAGGAATGAAAGTGGAGTTCCTTAAGAACCTCAAAGTGGACTCTCAAACTGTCTCTCTTTAGGTTGGACTAATTTGAACCAACTCAGAGACATCAGTGTTTGTCCTTTTTCTGAAGAGAAAGGAATTTCATTAGTACTCTCTGCTCACTCACTTTCATTTCAAATACTCCCTGGCAAGCAGGAAGTTCTTCTTTGTGTCTAACCTGAACCTTTACTTCTCCTGCATGGAAATTATCTAATTAGGTGTTGTTACTGAATACGTCTCCAGTCTTCCCTATGTCTGGATAAATAACATTTTCCCCAGTAGGTTTATTTTCTCGTACTTCAAGGCAAAGCTCCTTGTAATAGAGAAGCAAGCCCAGAGAGGTCGTAGGCAGGACTGCCTCCTGGGCCTCATGTGAGCCCGAGAAGTTTATCTTGTTAGGGGTCAGATTTGCTTTCCAGCAAACCGCCAAGGCTGTCCTCCCACAGCAACCCCAGCCAGGGCCAAGAGAAGAGTGTTCACGAGAACCTGGCTGAGTCACCATGCCCTTACCTGTCTAGTTTCCCCTTCTCAGCTGCTCAGAGCAGTGGGGGCTAGAGGGCTCTGGTGTCCTGCCCATCATTTCTAGCTGATGGCCTGAGGGCCCCTCCTCCTCTCTCAATGGGAGCCAGGCTGAGAGCAGTGCTGGCATCTGCTGCTGAAGCCAGCATGTAGGAAAGTGGGCATGGGGGTGATGGCAGAGGTGGGCCTGCCCCACAGCCAGGGTCAGTTTTAGCTTAGGAGCAGGAATATTTTCCTCTTGGAATCATTCAGAGATGTCCTTAGCCCCGCCTTGCCACAATGGATCCCAAGAGATAGCAGTGTACGCAGAGACAGGAGGGGATGGGGTTTGTGTGATGGGGTGCCTGCCTTTGGGGATCTCCTAATCTGATGAAGGAGTGTGGGTATTTTCCTGGGATACTAGACCCTATAAGTGCAAACTCAGCTGTAAACTTGAACTTGAGGCTGGAGACTTGGTTTCTCTTACTAGCTGGCTAATTATAATGGGGGGACATGGGTTCCCATCTCCCTCAGGGTATAAACACCTATAAAGATCATTTAAATAAGGGAAGCTTTTGGACCCTCTTGTGCATCTGCACAGGAGAGGATAGAAAGAGACACTGCAGCTGGGTCATCAGCGAGGGAAGTTTCCTCAGAAGGGCTGAGGGGAAGAGGCAAGAGGGAACGTGGAACCAGGTGGAAGGAGGACTCCGGCTGGCGCCCATGAGAGAGGTGACGACGATTCTTGCAGGAGGTCCATAGAAAGGGTTGGGGGGCCAGAAGGAGGTCGCCCAGCAAGGGCTATGAGGGCCGGAGGGTCCGGAGGCTGAGACCTGCGGTATAGCCTTGTCAAGTGTGGTTCCTGCAGCTTTCACACATGCACAGGCAGGAGAGGACTGGGGTGGAATATAAGTCCTCTGCAGAAGAGGAGCCCATGTGTCTGTGCGGAGAGTGCAGCGTGGGCAGCCTGTCCTCGAGTTAAACTGGGCTCCAGCTTGGAGCCTCCCTGTGGGGCAGCCCGGGTTTGCTCGAGGGTAGTGCACCCTTCAAGGGTAGCAGGCTAGGACAGCCGTGGCCGGAGTCCTGGAAATGCAGCTCACCCGCGGCTGGCCGTCCACAGGCAGTCCCTGTGGCCTGGCTTCTCCCCGCCCCAGCCGGATGCTCCCTGCTCCTGCTGTCCTTCCCTGTCTGTTGGTCTGTCACTCGGCAGGAGTGAAGTGCGCCCTGCTCCTGAAGCATTTGGAGCTTGATAATTTGTGGATTATAGCTAACTCTCGATAAAGATTCCCCTAATTGCTTGGCTCACCTCAGGTTCTATCATCAAAGCAAAGCCGGAGGCCCCCCTCTCGCCCTCCTTTTCTTTTTATTATCTCTTAATTAATCATTCTGGCTTTCACACTTAGCAGATAATTACAGTCTCCTGGGCACGAAGCTCATTTTCATAACCTCCTGCTCCAAGCCGGCAGCTAGGGGGGTGGGCAGGAAGAGGGAGAGAAGGGGAGAGTGGGAAGAGAGATGCTGGAGGAAGGGGGAGAGCAGCGAGAAGAAAGGGACACTTGGGGTGGTGAGGCAGCATGGGAGCCAGGACCCCTGGGCTGCCCAGGGGACTCTGGCAGAGGGCAGGAGGCTGTGCCCCCTGGGAGGCTTCACCTGGTCTGCAATGCTGGCTGCCGGCACAGCCTTTATCCCCTGAGCTCCCTTGGCCTGCCCCAGGGGTACAGCAGGAGGTGTGTATAGGTTGGTGTCCAGAAAGCTTAGTGAAGGGCAGGAGCTGGTCCCCAGTGAAGTTCAGTCAAGAAGGGCTGTGGGCCGGGCGCGGTGGCTCAAGCCTGTAATCCCAGCACTGTGGGAGGCCGAGGCGGGTGGATCACGAGGTCAAGAGATCGAGACTATCCTGGTCAACATGGTGAAACCCCGTCTCTACTAAAAATACAAAAATTAGCTGGGCATGGTGGCACGTGCCTGTAATCCCAGCGAGCCAGGAGGCTGGGGCAGAAGAATTGCCTGAACCCAGGAGGCAGAGGTTGCGGTGAGCTGAGATCGCGCCATTGCACTCCAGCCTGGGTAACAAGAGCAAAACTCCGTCTCTTAAAAAAAAAAAAAAAAAAGAAGGGCTGTGATGAGGAAAGGAAGGGCAGAGCTGCCATCGAAACGGGACCCGGAGACTGGCCTGGGGACTTTTCTGTTTTGGGCAAGCAGGACACTTATCCTGAGGTTTGAGCCAGTGGAAATGACCAGGGAATGATCACTCAGTAGGATGATCAGGTGAAGAGGGGAAGGCCTCACCTTTACTCAGTACCAGGTGGGAGCCGCGCCAAGCCTTTCACAGTGTGCTCATCACGCCCGTTTTAGAGATGAAGAAAACCGGAGAGCCAGTCATTTGTCCAAGTCACAACAAATTCATTCCAGGTCTGTCTAGTTAGTGGTAAAGGTCATGTTCTTTCCAGCCAGTGGCCCGGTCTCCGTGGGGTCAAGCACAGGACAGGACGTAATGGAAAAAGGGAGGGAGGGGACACCATTCCTGCTGAGCCTTCCCCTCTGGACCCAGTGGACGGTCAGCTCTGCTGTCACCTCGAGGCTTTCCTTGGGCTTTCACCCCAGACATAAACCGAAAGGACACCTGTCCAGATGATGAATGGAGAGGCCCAAGAGACAGAAACCTTTGTCTGTGAGTTAGACACAGAGTTGGACTAGGGGACCCTAATCTCTAGTGTGCCTCATGTCTGTCCCTCATTCCTGTTCCTCAGCAGTTCTTTGTGGCCCAAGCTTCTTCAGGTCCCTGAGAAGGGGATGAGGGACGTGGAAAAGTCCTTTCCCTGGGTGCATTTAATTTTCGTTCATGACCCTAGTCCAGTGTGCTTGGATTTTAGAATTAAATGAATTGGATCCTACTTCTTTGCCATTAGCTAGCAGTTAGACCCTAGAATATAAACTCTGAGTTTCAGTTTCTTCATTGGTAAATGGAAATCTTGAAAAGATTGGTGACAGTATATGCAAAACGGAGCCTTTGACCCATGATGGGTGCCTAACAAATGGTGGCTGTTATTACTGCTCCCATTGTTACCGCCATAGGTGAAAGCACCTAGCTGAGGAGAGAGCACATAGAGCAAATTAGTTTCTTAAAAAGTTGGTGAGGGCCGGGCGCGGTGGCTCACACCTAATTTAATCCCAGCACTTTGGGAGGCCAAGGTGGGCGGATCACGAGGTCAGGAGATCAAGACCATTCTGGCTAACACGGTCAAACCCCATCTCTACTAAAAATACAAAAATTAGCTGGGCATGGTGGCTTGTGCCTGTAAGCCCAGCTACTTAGGAGGCTGAGGCAGGAGAATCGCTTGAGTCAGAGGTTGCAGTGAGCGAAGGTCGCGCCACCGCACTCCAGCCTGGCAACAAAGGGAGACTCCTTTTCAAAAAAAAAAAAAAAAAAAAAAGGTGAGGGAGGGAAGGTCCTTTTGTTTGACTTCCTTGAAAAAGGAGGGAGGGCACAAAATTTCTATCTACCGTGTGCTGCTTCTGGCGTGTGCTATTGAGAAAAGTCATGAAGGCTTGTGCCGGCACAATTCTTTCCACAAATTGTCAGTCCAAACTGGGGCTGCCTCTGGCTCGAAGCTCATTGGCACCAAGCTCTGAGCAAAGCTGATCTTGCCTCTGCGGCCTTCCAGGCCTCGGATTGCCGCCTCAAGCCTGTGTGCCGATGGGTTAAACATATCGAGTGTCACATGGCTTGCAACTTCTGACTCAGCTTCTGGTTTCCTGGGCATTACAATAGGAACATCTATATTCAGGAGGCAGTATGGAAAGAGCACTGGGTTGTATTTTAGGTCTGGATGTGGATTTTAGCCCCAGTTGTGCCTCTGCTGGAGCGACCTTACTCAGCGACCTGGGCCTGTTTACTTGTAAAATGAGGTTAATCTCCAAGATTCTTTCTGGTTGCAGAGTTTCCAACTCTTTGCTATTCAGTGGGAGTTCATGAAAAGGACTGGCTCTTCCCAAATGAGGTTCTGGATCTCTCTGATTTGGTTTGTGAGCCAAGGCCAGAGGTACTGATTTCAGAGGGCCAGAGAACAGGTATCCCATGAGCCGCGCTTGCTCAGGAACTAGGGTGGAAGCAAGCATTTCATGCATCTTCAGATCTGGTCTGAACTTGGGGTAAGGAGAGCAGGAGTCACCAACACACACAAACACACACACACACATACACACACACAGTCCTGAGAATGTCCCCAGCACACACACACACACACACACACACACACACACACAAACACACACACACTCTGTTCTGAGAATGTCCCAGCCTGCATTTCGTGCATCTTCAGATCTCGTCTGAACTTGGGGTAAGGAGAGCAGGAGTCACCAACACACACACACACACACACACACACACGCACACACGCACACACGCACACACACACACACACTCTGTCCTGAGAATGTCCCAGCCTGCCCTGGAAGGTGGGAACCTGGACCAAGGGTGTGGCTGCTTGTGTGTGCATGTTGATAAGAGTTTCTCCCTGAAGAAACATGCTCTGGCTTTGCCCTGGACTTTAGCTTTGGTCTATGAAAAGGTTTTGCAGAATCTTGTGGGAACATAAACATTCGGCAGATTTCTTTCCCTGAAAGCTATTTCTTCTCTTTTTCTGGGAACTTTTGCCAGCAAGATCAAGGGCCCTCCACCCTTCCCTCCTCCCTCCCTTTGCCTGAGACACCCAACCCCCTTTCTCCTCCTCTCCAAAATGAAAACAAAGTTAACTGGTGTGTACTGGGAATCATTTCAGAACAAACTGGGCCAGAAGAAAGGAGTAAAGCAAACAGATAGCTCTCCCAAGAGGAGAAATTATAAGAAGTGAAGGGGAGAGAGAGAGAGAAAAAAAATAAGCCAATGGCATCAGTGGTGAAAAGTGAATTCCAGACATTTAAAATTCTTTTGGTTTTAATCATCTCAGAGGCTGACCAGAGCCGAGCTGTGGGGGAAGGGAAAAAATGAAAACCAGGGCTCTCTACGTGGAGCAGGCTGGAATCTCAGACTGTCTGCAAAGACCCCCGGCCTTCCTATGCAAGCTGCTCACTCTGCTCGGCTCAGGCCTCATGACCTCCTGTGTCTGACCTCAGAAGGGTTACGTCCTCCAGAGAGCCCATCCTGACTAACCCTCTCCCTTTATCTCACTTTACTCTCAGTTTTCAAGCACTGACCTTTCGGTTTTCCAGCCGGATTGCAAGTTCCCCAAGTCCCTGGATTCTGTTTTGTTAAAAGCAAAACTAACAGACGACAAACCACAGCCTGTTTCATAATCATGCCTCGGTCCCCTGCCTGAGGGTTGGACCCTGAGAGAAGCCCCAAGGCCTCTTCCTCATCTGTAAAATGGGCTGAAGAGCTGTGCCCAGCCTTGAAGAGCCTCCAGAAGGAACGGGGAGCTGGGAGGAGCCTGGCGCGGGTTCCCCCACTCCGTGTCGTCTCTGTTGGGCACTTCAGGAGTCTCTCAAGACTGCCCTTGTAGGAGGGAGTGGACGCACTTTACTGAGGCCTAGGGGACACTGAGGCCTAGGGGACGTAGGGGGTCGTCTTGTCCCCTTTCTCAGGGGTAGGGCTGGTTGGCAGTGGGTGAAGCTCCTGGACACAGGCGGCTGGGAGACGGGATGAGGGATTCCAAGCTCTTTCCTTCCCTGGGCCGGGATGGGTTTTAAGGTGAAGGAGGGAACCAGGAAATCTTGCCAGCCGTGGAGAGGCAATCAGTGGGAGGCCCCGAGGGCAGCAGGGTGGAAGGAGCCTGGAGGAGAAGCAGGAGACCAGGCAGTGGCCATCAGAACATCGCTAATAGCCACACGCAGAAGCCTCCCTTCCCTGGACTGGGTCCCTGTGTGCTCAGCATCTTCTCTCTGAGCTCCCTCCGCCTGCTCTTCCCGCTCAGTGTTGAGCTCTCAGTTGCCTTCTCCATCTGGAGGTAGCTCCCCGCATTCTCATGACCACCAGCTGTTTCTCCCCGCCCCCACCCCGCCCCCACTTTCCCTCAAACTTTGATTCCTGGGCCTTTGGACTTCGGTCTGTTTTTTATAGTTTTATAGTGTGTCTTCCACCTCCTGCTTCCCTTTCCCAGTAACATTGAAAAATGGAGAGCTGGAGGGTAGAGTTGACCTTAGAATGGGAGCCAGCAGGCCTGGATTTTAATCTCGACTCGTCTTCTTGGACTACTTTCTCTTGGGCAAGACTTGCTTTTTGGGGGCCTCGGTTTATTCAGTAGTAAAATGAAGAGCTCTGTGAATGATGCCTGAGGCCCCAAAAGTGCTTTACAGCTTCTGGAAAAAAGAGCAAGATCTGGCCGGGCGAGGCGGTTCACACCTGTAATCCCGGCACTTTGGGAGGCTGAGGCAGGCAGATCGCGAGGTCAGGAGATCGAGACCATCCTGGCCAACAAGATGAAACCCCGTCTCTACTAAAAATACAAAAATTAGCTGGGCATGGGGACTTGTGCCTGTAACCCCAGCAACTCAGGAGGCTGAGGCAGGAAAATCACTTGAGCCAGGAACTTGGAGATTGCACCACTGCGCTGCAGCCTGGCAACAGAGCGAGACTCCATCTCAAAAAAAAAGAGCAAGATATGGAGTTCAGAGTGCTCAGATTCAAGGACCTATCACCTCCTGCCAGTGTAACCTTGTGCAAGTCACTTCACCTTTTTTTTTTTTTTTTTTTTTTGAGACAGAGTTTTGCTCTGTTGCTCAGGCTGGAGTGCAGTGGCATGATCTCGGCTCACTGCAAGCTCCGCCCGCCTCCTGGGTTCAAGCAATTCCCTGCCTCAGCCTCCTGAGTAGCTGAGATTACAGGCGCGTGCCACCATGCCCACCTAATTTTTGTATTTTTGGTAGAGACAGGGTTTCACCATGTTGGCCAGGCTGATCTCGGACTCCTGACCTCAAGATCCACCTGCCTCGGCCTCCCAAAGTGCTAGGATTACGGCTGTGAGCCACCGCGCCCAGCCCACTTCACCTGTTTGTGGGAGAACAGTGGCATCTGCTTCATGGAGTGATGATAAAGACTGCATTAAATAATGTGCATAGAATGGGTGGCTTGGTACCCTAGACGCTGTGAGCCAGTGGTATATGTTAGCTCTTACTGTTAAATCCTAACCTCTTTTTGGAGTGGTGTAATAAAAAGAGTCCTGGATTTGTTATCAGAGACCTGAGTTCACATTCCATCTTCCTTTCCCACTTTCTGTGTGACCCTGTGCAAGTCTTTTTCCCCAACACTTTATAACATGGAATTCATAAGTCCTGGGATTCATAAGGCTGCGATTCTTGGGGTCTTCCGCAGAAGGGGAGGTGCGTTCTCCTCCTTCTGGTGCTTTGCCCCTCACTGGGAGTTGTGAATATAAGTTAATGTAAAGTCTATGGGGGCCAGGGCCTTTGTCTCAGCCTCCATTATCCCCCTGGTGCATGGGCACTCAGGAAATGTGAGATAAATGATGATTATTGTAAGATACTAATCTATGAACAAAGAACCTGAGGCCCAGAATGGGGAAATGACTTGCTTCAGCTGGACACAGCTGACCCTTTGCTGTAGGGGCTGTCCTGTGCATTGGAGGAGGTTTAGCTGCATTCCGGCCTCCACCCACTGGAAGCCAGTAGCTCGCCAGTCTCCAGGTGTGACAATTTAAAATGTCTTCAGACACTTCCAGACGTCACCTGGGAAGTAAAATTGCCTCAAGTGAGAACCACCGAGCTAACCAGAGGAAAAGCTAGACCTGGAAATCAAGTCTTCTGACTCCTCTCCCGTAGCTTTTCCTAAAATGCCACATTGTTGTCCACTTCTCCCGTTATCCCCCATCCCATAACAGTGAGAGAGAGAGAGAGGTGTGTGTTGTTGAGGACAAAGTATTTTGTCCTCTAGCCCGTTTCAGACATAACTAATTTCCACATAAGTTGTGACTGACCTGTCTGTCCAGGGTTGGGGACTAAGGAAGGAGGCAGGTGGCAAAGAGAGTCACCTGGGCAGTCCACTAAGCGAGTGGACGGAGGCCCTGACTTCCCCTAGAAGCATCTCATGTTTGTGATGAGGACTGCTGGATGACCTGCCACTTCATCACCCCGCGCAGAAAATAAAGCAGACTCCTCGTGATGCTGGACAGAACTGTTTGAGGTGCCTACCGCTGGCTCCCCATTCTCACCTTTCATACCCCCATCCCCCACAGTAGCTCTGAGAGGACCTAGGGCACCATGGAGTACAGTTTGAAAATTACAGATTTATTCCAACCCCTGAACATTACGAACGAAAGCCCAGACTCAGAGGGGAAATGACCGGCTGTCCCATAGCACTGACCAGAACTGCGAGTTCCACGTTAGCCTCTGCCCTTGCTCTGCAACCAGCACGCACACCTCCCTCCCTCGACTGGAGAACGGCCACTTCACCTAGGCTGTCTCCGGAGACCTCCCTGCCTCCCCCTGCCATTCCCCACTGCACAGATCAAAAAGTCCTCTCTGGGCTGTGGGTGGGGGTGGTGACTTAAGGAGCTTACTGTCCATTAATTGCTGGAGGAAGGTGGTGGTCCCTGGAGGATTTTAGGTGACACTGCTCCTGGGACTGTCAGCAGATCCCCCCCCATCTTCCCCAGAGATGCCCTTGTTTTTCAACCTCTGCCCCCATCCCTCCTAAGGGGCCTATTCTTGCTGTCATGGCAACCAAGGGATTAGGACCAGCTTGGAAGCCCAAAGATACGGGAGAGGGCTTAGTAAGAAGGCAGGTGGAAGGAGGAAATGAGAGAATGAGGTGAAGATAAAAAAGCAGATCCGGGTGGGGGAAGTGGAGGGCAATGAGGAAGGTGAAGGGAAGGGGGAGATGAGAGAGAGACCTCATCTAGAGTAAGAGAGAAAAGGGAGGGAGGAGGGGGAGGGACGAGAGAGAGAGAGAGAAACCTCAACTTTTATTTAAAATCAGAGAGCAGTTGTAAGCCTGGAGTTGTTGCCATGGCAACAGCAAAGAAAAGGAGATAGAGAGCTTGTGAAGCGGTGAAAACCCAATAGGGGTAAATGTTTAAAGCCAGGAACAAAAACCATTCAGAGATAATTAAGTAACCGGCTGCAGGTTCCACACTCCTGCCCATTGTCCGGGACGCGCCTGAGATTCCAGCCTCCTTCCCCCTCTCGCCTTCTCCCACCCTTTTCTCCCTTCCCCTCACTCACAAGGATTTCAGAGCAGCTGCCAGGGAACACGCGACCCTCCCTGTGATCTTTCCTTTAGCGAGGGACTGACCTGCTTCCTCCAGTCCCAGCTCCTCAGACCAACGCTGGGCGAGTTTTCTCTCCTACACTGTTAAGAAAAATATAGTCTTTATGGCGAGTGGGGGGAAGGAGGCTTTGGTCAGATAAATGGAAGAACTTCTTGATGCTGAGTTACTAGATGGATAACTAAGTTGTGGACTTCTTCCTTCCTTGGATATGGCAGGCAAGGCCATCTGTGTGAACTGCGGCCCTCCAGGTCTCTTAATTGCTGGGATTCTTGGGGTCTTCCTCAGAAGGGGAGGTGCGTTCTCCTCCTTCCAGTGCTTTACTGGGGCTGCTTAACTATCTTTAATGCTACCGCTAATTCCTTTTTGAATGCTTCTTAGGATTTTTCCAGCAGGCTTAATCTTCCCAAGCCTCAGGATGGCCAAAAGCTAAGCTGATATTTGGGAGGGTTAGGTGTACTCTGAAGAAATTTTTTTTATGCCAAAGTCCTTTTTTCTTTTTGAAATGAGTTTCATAAAGTCATCTTACTCCTACCCCAGACATCACAACAGCTGGCTGGCCCCTCACCTCCTCTCCTTAGGGAAATCATCTGTTGAGTCCTGCCATACCTTCAATGTCTCCTAAGAAACTGTGAATATCAGAGGGGGCTGTGATGTCCTTTTCTTCCTGTCATCTCCGATGCAGTTCTGAGCTAGGGGCCAAAATAGCTAAGTAAGAAGAGTCCTGGTTCGCACCTGCGGCACTCCCACGCTTCTGCCGGCTGTTATCACCCACCTCCAGTCCGTTCCCGCATTGACTCTCAATTTTATCCTCCCACTAAGCCAGACCACTGGAGAGTTGCGAACCAAGACGGAAAGGTTTTCGCCCCTTGAAGAATTGCTTTTACTGAACTGAGCATTTGGTGCTGTGCCACCAGCCTGCACTGAGGAATGCTTTAAGAACAGCCCGGGGAGACTCCTTATTGCATTTATGGTAGGAATGTTCTCCAGGACACGGTTCAACACATCGCCGTGTCCTTTTATGAGGATCCTTGGGAGAAAGTTTCACAGCTACTTTACCTAAGCCTGTGGTTCATTTTTATTTTACGGATACTGTAAATTGTGTCATGAATTTCGAATTTTTCCTCTTTGCAATGGCTGCTTGGAAGCTCAGGGCTAAACCTTGTACTTCATCTGATGAAGCGCTTAGGATCTTTTTTTTTTTTTTTTTTTTTTTTTCCTAAGACAGTCTCACTCTGTCACCAGGCTGGAGTACAGTGGTGTGATCTGGGGCTCACTGCAACCTCTGCCTCCCAGGTTCAAGCGATTCTCCTGCCTCAGCCTCTAGATGGGACTACAGGTGCACACCACCACGCCCAGCTAATTTTTGTATTTTTTGTAGAGACGGAGTTTCACCATGTTGGCCAGGATGGTCTCGATCTTTGTACCTCATGATCCACCCGCCTTGTCCTCCCAAAGTGCTGGGATTACAGGCGTGAGCCACCGCGCCCGGCGTGAGACACTTAGGATCTTATGGCATATGTTTAGTATATTAGTTTTACCCCAACCTCAATTTACTTCTCCTGTTTTTAGTCTCTTTCCCTGCTTCCCTAATCACCACCATTCCCATCCCATTGTCCAGTTTCTTGTTTTTAGTATCATTGACCGAATCTATGTATGCTGCTTCAGATTGTCTATGGAGCAAGTACACTAATTGAGTTAAGATCTATAAAACATACAGCACAGTGCCTGACAAAAGAAAGCAAAGAAAATGTCAACTACTATTTTAAGTAAATAAATAATACAAATTGTTTCTCATCTTTATTTTAGAGACGTTGTAAATACAGACCAGAGACTGCAGAAAGCTAGCCAGATCAAAGGCCGCCAATTAAAGGCAGTAAATATAGTTAACTCCCAGTTGACCCAGTAGAAGGGAGAGCCTTGACATGAGTAACACCCAGCCACTGATTTTTTTTTAATCTTTTTTTTTAACTGTGGGATACATCATGGTGATAATAATGATGATAAATAATCAGATTTGCCTTGCTTATTAGAGTTGACTTGGTCTGCTATTTAAATGAGTTTCTAATTCCCTGCTCACACCAGACTGACAACCGAAACATTCTGGGTGGCAAAGGGAATCAGCTTGCCTGGGATTAAGATTTTTTCATGGATAATCTCCAAAGTGAGGAACCTATGTGTGAGTAATTGAGAGCTGACAGCATTTCGCTGGATCAGTTTTGCCTAGTCAGACAGGGAGAGAACTAAGCCCAGGAAAGACAATAGGGTAAAACTAGAGGAGGTTGACAGAGTGTGACTTCTATTTCTCAGCCTGGCTTGCACAATCTGCCCTAGCTCAGGTGAGGCTGGCCTTGCGTTCTTTGTCTCTTTCTTATTTGCTCATTTCCAGCCAACCTTTTATTTGGTCCAAGGGTAAAAAGAAAAAGAAGGCCGGGCACGGTGGCTCACGCCTATAATCCCAGCACTTTGGGAGGCCGAGGCAGGTGGATCACGAGGTCAAGAGATCGAGGCCATCCTGGTCAACATGGTGAAACCCCGTCTCTACTAAAAAATACAAAAATTAGCTGGGTATGGTGGCACACACCTGTAGTCCCAGCTACTCGGGAGACTGAGGCAGGAGAATTGCTTGAACCTAGGAGGCGGAGGCTGCGGGTGAGCCGAGATCACGCCATTGCACTCGAGCCTGGGTAACAAGAGCGAAACTCTGTCTAAAAAAAAAAAAGAAAAAGAAAAAAATCGCCATGACATCTCTGTTTTGCTCAACCCCGCCTTCACTGAGCATTATATGTTAGGCACTGTCAGGTCCCTGCGAAGCTCCCTTTCCTGCAGAGGATGGGTTCCAGCAGAGATGCTGCTCAGTGCAAGCAGCCCAGGAAATGGGCATCCCCACCACCCCGCAAGTGCTCCTCATTTTCCTCCTTTCCTGCTTCCTCCTGTGTTTCTCAAGGACCCTCTTCCTTTCACTCTTCTCTGTTGTTCCTTCAAGGTCTTTCCAGCCCTTCTTCGTTTTCTCTCCTACCCTCTCTACCTCTCTCTCCTTTTTAAGGTCCTTCTTTTCCTTTCACATTTTCTTTTTTTTTCTTTTTTTTTTGAGACGGAGTTTCGCTCTTGTTACCCAGGCTAGAGTGCAATGGCGCGATCTCGGCTCACCGCAACCTCCGCCTCCTGGGTTCAGGCAATTCTCCTGCCTCA